ATTCTATTCTGTAAAACGCACTATTTGACTTAAGTAAAATGTACTGTAAATAAAAAAGAATCGAGGAAGGACTTTTAATTTAGTTGTAAAGTGTGAAACACATTCAAGACGATGTGGAATGTTCTGTAAAAGTGTTTCTGGAACTTTGTGACCCAAGATAACAACGCCCAACTCTTACTCAATTAAAAAAGCCCCTTTGTTTATTCCTCTGCCCTCTCAAAAGAGGCTGAGTAATTAACAATTCGAATCTTATATGGTGTTTAGTATAAAAAAATATCCAAACGTCATGTCATTGGAATATTTCTATAAATTATTTAAATCTAATATAGTTTGAACTAATTATATTGACTGAGCTAACTCAATGGAATAATGTAAAACTGAGTTGTAGATTTTTAAAAATAGTACAGAAATTGATTTCTTAAAATAAAAAATAGTTGGGAAATCTGTGTTAAGCAGTTGGGAAATTTGAGGCTTCTCCTCCCCTAGAATTTAACCAAGCAACGCCACTGAACATGAGCTTATGTCTAAATACATTGTCCTTGCATCGTGTCTTCCTAAATATTTTTATTAGTTTCTTTGTAACAAATACGCTACGTTTAAATAGATACAAACTAAGACAAAAGCTGTAATGTAACGTTAAACTATGATAAAACCTAGTTCTGCTGTAATTCGTCTTTGTTCAGTCAATATTAACTTTACTGACACTTCATGTTTACATTTTATTTTGTTTCCAAATCATTCAGTATTTTATATATTTATATAATATTTTATATTTACTAACTGTTATATAAGTTACGTTGTATTAACATTTTTGTTTCTAAAAGTATAAACTAATTAAAATTACATCAAAAATATGTTTGATGGCCCAAGTTGTAAAGAGATTCAATTGAATCAGTTAATCATCTTTTGGAGGCCTACAAAGGTAATAAAGTCTGTAATGTTATTGGTGATCAGAGTGTTCAATTACCAACAATTGAGTTTTTATTGATTGATTTTGACGTAGTATTTGAGTTTTTTTTTTTACAAATATAAGACACCATTAATATTTATAAAACTAATATTTACTTTATTTACATTCAATTAAAAAAAATTATAAACGGAATTATTATAATCATAATTGAACGTCGTAGGTTTAGGCATATTCTATTTTTATTTTGAGCTACACTTAAAATGAATTATTTAAAAATATATTTTTTTTTACTTTTTCAAGAATCGTATACTATGACTTTAATCGTGAAGAAATTGTGTGTAATTTCAACTGGAAACATTCTACAGTAGATATAACTATGAAATACTTTCAAGTGCAATACATTTCATTAGTCATTTAGCTGTATCATCGTAATGAAAGAATATTGGTTCTTATTGTATTTAACTGTGAAAGGTTCTGTTGCATTGGTTTTAAGGTTGATATTATGCTAATAAGGAATAAAAAATTGTATTAACTACTACATACTGAAATGTGATCCAAATCGTTGTACAGTATAAACCGTTTGCTACATTACTGTAATTCAACGTTTTAGCATGTCTTAAAAATATGACGTTTAACACTTTTTATATAATTTATAAAGTTGAAGTCATACGAGCAACTACAAAAAGGCAATAACAAAGTTTGAAGTAGACCAGTCCTTATACGAAGTTGCCTATTGGATACGGTGGAGCTGTTATTCTGTCGCAACAGAATTGATCACGGTCCAACTGAGGCTCTCTGATGGTCAAATCCCGAACTTTTTCAATAATTGTCTTCAGCCAACTTCGAAAAGACACTTCACTGAGTAATAAATAATTTTTTTACTTGTTGTTTAAAATTTGTCTAAATCTTAGTGTGCCCTTAAGATACATTAGATTACCTTTTATATTTTTAAGTTTTTTGTTTGTTTTTTAGGGAGAGGAGGGAAAATGCTTTTACGCCCAAAGGTAGCCAGCCTGTAGTGTGAGACTCCTGAATTTATCAGACTACTCACCCCCTCTAAACCCCCCCCCCCCCCAACACCTCTGTTGGATATGGACCTGGAATTGTTTGTCACATTATTTCAAGTCACGCCAACATGTGACCTAAGCCCTCAGGGCTCTCACCGTTTCTGGCATTTAGATTCTTTATGACCTACACCGCATCCCAGTCAAGGTTGAGCTTCTTGGTGCGGAGAATACCCTGGATGTAATGGGACACACAGGTCCAATTGTCCTCACCCTCCGTCATCATCGGTATGACCGTGTCCACCGACAGCTACTAACTGCTGAGTCTCCTGGCGGGGCCTTTCCCAGCGCTAGCAGTGGAAAAATATATGCTCCACGTCATCGGGAATGCCTGGGAAGTATGCGATCGGGTGACACGGCTTTGCCCATCCTGAACAGGTAGTCAGGTACGACCGGAAAAAGCCGTGACCCGTCAAAATTGGGTGAGGTAGAAGTCCACCTCTCCGCACCGCCGATTGACCCAAGGTTGGACTTGCTGTATCAGTCGCCTGGTCCAGCGTCCCCGTGTCTCCTGTTCCCAGCTCTTCTGCGACAGCTGGTAGGTGCGGGTGCGCTCCTCTGTTCGTCACTGGTCCCCCCTTTACGGTGCTGATAAATTGCCTTTCTCTCCGTCGCCAAAAGTTTCATGGGGATTACTCCAGCAACCATCAGGACGGCGGGTTCGGATACGGTTCGGTAGGCTGATGGTAATCTTTGTGCTGCCTGACGCTGCACTCGGGCGAGCCGCATGCTATACCTCCTTATTAAACACGTCTGCCCACACCTCCGCACCGTACAAGAGTACGGACTGGACCCAAGACATTAACAGCCATCTACAACTGGACAGAAGCCGTCCGACATTGGCCATTAATCGGCTAAGAGAAGAAACCACCCTAACAGCCTTGTCCGCCGTACGGAAGATCTGATCCCGCTAAGCTTGCAGTCCATCATAACCCCAAGGTACTTGGCAGTTATGTTTTGCATAGCTGTCAAAATGTTTTTTGAAAAAGACTATTACTTAAACATACTTTACATACGTCACTCCACTACATACAGATTCACGTTTCTTTAACCTACACCCAGACCACCTCAAATACACAACAACATTAAATTTGCCAGTAAATTAAAACATTGCCTACTTGACCTATCATATTACACCGTCTCTGAATTCATAGAATAGTAATACTTCACTACTTATGTTATATTGAATTTTTTTGCCTTATCTACCAAAATTAGGCTATTTTAAGCACTTTTTTACCTTTGGCAATTTTGGGGGAAAAGATTTAGGGAAACTACCCTTCTATGAGCTTATACCTACTACTTATTGCATTTTTTTACCTTCTACCAAAATTAGGCTATTTTAAGCACTTTTTATCTTTGTCCCTTTTGGGGGAAACGATACTGTACTATTTCACCTCGAAAATCGTGTTTTAACATCGCGAAACCCTAAACTAAAATAACGGCTTCGGCATTCCCTAGTTCTCAAAATTGTCTTTCTTTCAACACAAAATCTCTTCTGCTCATGTGCTTAAAGCATCTTTAATTTTGTTAATGGTGTCCCCTTTGAAACGAATAAATAAATTTAACATAACGATTATGAAAATCCGTCAAGGGGTTAATTATTTAGAATCGTGAAATTAAAGAACCTTGTCACGTTTCATAACCTTGAAACACTAGCCTATCTTTTCTGAAAAAGAACATTTCCATTTTTTCAGATCATGTCCAGGATATTCTTTGCCAAACAGTCTTAATCTTTAGATACCAAAACATTCAACCACCTTTTTCAAAAAACATCTTTATTAAAACGGTATACTGCTTTTCAATGCATTGCCAACCCATCTAAAAATTGAGTCAACCCCTGTTATTTTTAAAAAATCACTTCGAAAATACTGGTGTACAAGTGTTACTACCGTTTCCGTGATTTTATTGCTGATGGGTAGTCATGGGCATATGGTATGCTTGGTTCATGAATTGATTACATGTAAATAGTGTTTATTTTAGTAGTTATTTTATAGTTTATAAGACAATCTGTATTTTTTTAAATGTATATTGACTTAGCCAATGCATTAATGTAAATCTGGCCAATTAAATGACTTATGACTTTAATATATACGATTTTAAAATAGTCATAGTAGGAAAATTATACATGCAATACATTGTTTATATTGAAAATTAGTTGATAGACTAATGATATCCCACAGCTCCTAAGGTTCCATTTTGTCGATGATATGAGACTTCGACCTTGTGGGACGTTGACTAACTGAGACTCTACACTACGTTACTCTATGTGGGTCAGGATCAGGAATTCCGCCAGAGACCGTCAGGCGCCAAAAGCCAAAACCAAAAGTTTCTTTCTTATTTCTGTTCTGTGTTCTCTTCATAAAAAAATACTGTAAGTATAATTATATTATTATTTACTGTTTGCCTAAACTATTAAACAGTTAAAAATTATATTGTGCGTATTCTATAAGTAATTAGGACATCTTGTTTAGATTTCAGTAAGTAACAATAAAGTCAAAAAATTAGCTTGGATAATGAATTATTAGTAGACGTCGACGTCGGTCTACAGGGTAGGTTTTGTGTTAAGCTTCTGCTGCTCTATTAAATAGTGAATACCTAACCTAGTATAGGTAATTAGCGTAGGTCAATTCAGATGTGTTTTTCTACAGTATAGGAAATATTGATGTTAATGGGCCAAATAGTCACTGTTTTTAAATGAGTTTGTATTTTATTTCTTAGAAACGAAATTCTCAGAATATGCCCTATTTCTTATAATCTTGATTTGGTATAGGCCTAGGTTTTAGCCCATTACCATTATATTACAATTCTTACAATAAATCATTTCATTTCATATCTAAATGGCCCTAGTCAAATTGTTAATTGTAAATACTAAATTGATGTTTTACTCAGTTTAAGTATTTTCATCCCAGAAATTGGTAGGAGTAGGCCTACTTATTTTTGTTCTGAGAGAAAAAAATTTACAGTTTCTGTAATTCTGTATTAGGGCTAGGCCTTATTATTATATTGGTTCCTGCCTACGACTCACATTTTTCAAAACTTCTCACTTTACCATCCTTATGTCAGATTGTCAGTAATGTATTACTTGGGCGACTTACTAAACTTATCATGGAATAGGCCTAAGTTAGGGATTTTCATTGGTCAAACTGGTAAACTTTACCTGAGCTATTGCTCTACTTAAATTAACTTATAGTAAGTTAGGCCTAAATTGGGTATCCTAATTGATTATTTAGGTCTAACTATTCTCCAATTTATGCACTTGCATTTTGTTTGTTATTGAGATTAAGCCAGACCAAGGTTTAATAGAATATAGCCAAATATTCTAAGAATAACTTAATTAAGTAGGCCTAACAAAATTTTGACCAAATGAGTTTACTCGGGAAGACCTATAGATATGACATAAGTTATTATTCAACGCCTAGCAGAAAACTGAACCTATTTAATTGGATGGCACGCAGCTTGTTAAATTTCCTAGATCTTAGTTTAGGCCTATAAATTGTGTTTAATTCAACAATGTAGGCCTAAGCCCACAAATATAATATTCTACATTACATTTTCCTATTTCAACCTAACATGAAATCCTAATCCAACAGGCAAAACATGTGGTACAAGTTTCCTAGCTGAGTAGCATATTTTCACTCTATGAGAGTGGTTACTATCCATTAATGTAATCTGTTAGTATTTGGACTAGGCCCTATCCAACATTTTGTGCATCTAACTTAGCCTAGTCCAGCCTAGATATTAGAAATGCGTTCTGAGTTACATTTTGGCAGTTACCTATTAATATAGGTTGTAGTGTAAGTTTAAATCGTCCTAATGACCATGTGTAACATTTTTAAAGTTAAATGTGGGCTGTGGGGTTTATTATATGACATATCATCAGTCCTTTTAAAAGCCTTAATGAAATCAGTAGCTGAACCTTTAAGTTAGCTTTGTGTATTAATGCCAGTCTAAATGAGGGGATTTTCCCATCCAAACTCAAAATATCTAAAGTTGTGCCTGTGTACAAAAAAGTTAGCAGGAGTGATCCAGGAGGGTACCAGCCGATTTCTCTGGTCCCTGTTATTTCAAAAGTCTTTGAAAACTGTAGTAAAAAATCAAATAAGTAATTTTTTTGAACAACATAATCTTTTTATTGACTGTCAGTATGGTTTCAGGCCTGGTAGATCTACGATCGATGCAATCGAAGTGTTCATAAGTCATGTACTTGCCAGCTTTTAAAGCGGAAATCCCACAGGAGCAGTCCTCTGTGATTTGTCAAAAGCCATTGACTGTGTCGATCGTAATATTCTTTTGCACAAATTGGACTTTTATGGAATCATTGGCAATCAAAATTCTTTGTTGAAATCATACCTCAGTGATCGGCTCCAAAAAGTTTCGTCGAATAACTCATTTTCTAACGTAACTGAGGTTAAGTACGGGGTACCACAGCGATTGGTTCTGGGCCCTCACTGTTCCTAATAGCCATAAACGACCTTTCGTCAAATGTTGAATGTAAATCCATCTTATTTGCTGATGATGTAACTTTTCTCACAAAAATTTAGTACTTACGGTACTGAAATCCCAGTGGCTGCTAATAATATTCTTAATCAGGCAAATGAGTGGTACAAAGCCCAATATGTTGCTAATGAATAGGGAAAAAACTCAAACTGCTGTTTTTACTTTGACAAATACTGGTAATTTAGAAAATGAATTCTCTCAGTGTGTTAAGCTCCTGGGTATGCACATAGATTCCAAACTAACATGGCATAAGCATGTCAAACACCTATGTAAATCGTTACACCGAATAATATGTTTAGTTAGAAAGTTAAAAGTCTGTATATTCCCTGATTGCTTAAGAATGGCTTATTTCTCTCTTTTTCAAAGTAGAATTACCTATGGGTTGATGTTTTGGGGGAAATTCTAGCTCCATAGTGTGTTAGTAGCCCAGAAGATGTTGAGAATCATCACTAACTCTGACACAAATACACACTGCAAACCTATTTTTTCACAGGAAAAAATTCAAACTGTAATCAACCTGTACATTTTTGCAAGTCTCTTACATACCAAAAAGCACTTAAACACTCTCATTCTCCACAGGCATGTACACAACCATGGGACTTGAGGCCAAAACAAAATCTGTAGACCCTACACAAGACTGACTAAGGTTCTCACATCCTTCGAAGCTACAGGTATTGCTTCGCCTTTTCAATTGCTTGCCTTTATCAGCTCAGCATGTTAGCTTAGGTAGTTTTAAGAAGGTGATCTATGCATGGTTGATAGTAAAGTAAGGCCCTACTACAGCCTTAAAGAATATTTTGAAGCAGACTTTAGCTCCATCAATTTTGCATGATGTGTTTTTTTTTTTTTTTTTTTTCTAAAATAGCCACTCTTATTTAATTTTGTAGAATGAACACTTATTTTTTATGTTTGCTTTAGTGTAGCATGTTTTACTATTGTATTTGTGACTGACTTGTGCATTTCAAGCGTCCATGACAAGATCGATTGCATGTAATTTTGCCTAAAGATCAATGAATGCCTTGTCTTATTGACTCGTACTTATTGGCGTTCGTAAATAATTTAAGCCTACCTTACTTTTAGAGATAGACTTAGTGTAGATCTGATGATGCAAAATGGTGATAGTAACTTAGGCTAAATGTAATTCAACTTACTCTACGTAGTGTGTTTTTCATCCTTCCTTAGTTAGCCTAAATAAAAAAACATCTTATACCTAAAAATTAATCTGATTGAAATTGGCTAAACCTCCCAAAACTGACCTATGAAAGATCAAACTCTTAAATTGAATGCAAACCAATGGGTAATTTTCGGTTGTCTAATGATTTATGTTAATCATAAAAATCACCATGCCTAGGTAGGTTTTAGTGAAAACTCTACAGTTCTTAAGTATTTACCTAGGCTACTTATTTGTAACACTTATTTTGCCAAAATTTTATGTTTTTTTTTCAAGATGGCTGATCAAAGGGAACAGTGTTCAAACCCTGACGAAGACGAAGTAGTAGATGTTCTGTATGACGTAACCAGTAGAAGAAGCACCGTACCTAATAGGGTGGCAAACGTTGAAGCAGAAATTCTTCAACAAAGACAAGATCTTGCAGTATGTATTATTAAATTTTGTACAGTAAGACATCAATGTAAAAAAAAAATAGTGTAATAAGTCTTAGGTAGGCCACACAATGGCCACTGAATCTCTGAAAAATGAGCTTGTAGTTTTAAAACTGTTAACTTATGCGTGAAACCAGTTTTTTTGGGGGTTTGGTGACTCGAAGTCATTGTTCAAAAAGTATTAAAATAAGGAAAGTACCGTATGAACATATTATGAAATCATAACCTTACCTTACTACTGCAGTATAGGTGGGCATTATTTAACGTAATAGGATATAACCTTTGACTATTAATAAAACTAGACATTCCATCCCCACCTTAAATTTGTGGCCGTAGTTTAAAAATTGTCGTAGTTGATGTGAGCCACCAACAGATTGCGCTGATCTAAATTACTTAATTCTGTCGAGTACACAAACTATTTTACCAAGTCAAACTTAGGGAATGACTTATGGTGAGCTATGGCAACTGTTATGAACCATTAACCTGGTCAGCAACAAAAAATGAAGCATAAAATTGAATTTTAGACACTTGCGCATTCTGTGACTGGCTCACACAATAACGTTCATTTTTAATACAAATTTGGAGACAGCTGTTCCATAGATGGTTTGTCTACTTCAGTATCCAATAATCAATGATATACTACTATTAACTGAAGAATCACCTATTATCTTGGTACCGGTACCTAATAGATAACGGAGAATACCCTCTATTATTTTTGTAACTTTGAATAATTGTTAAAACGAGCAAATGAAATAGCGCTAGAATCACAAGGGTGCTCTCAAGGGGGGCTGTTGCACAGACTGTGTCATTGAAATTCTTGGGGGGTCCCAAAAATTTCAGGGTGGCTAAAATTAGATTGATAGTGTTCATTATTATGAAAAACAAAAATATATTACCAAGTCACCAGATAGAATGTAAATGAATTAATGACAAAAGATTCACAACTATTAGCTTAATATATTATTGAATTTCAATTAGCTAAAATTGATATGTTTAGGTGCGTGTGCTCAAATTGATCCGCGGCCAGAGGGTAGTTTTGGATCGTACAAACTAAACTGATCCAGGGGTCTAACGGGTAGATAATAGGGTCGCTTGAAACATAAGAATTGATCCACGAGTGGTTGAGGGAGGGAGGGAAATTCTCCCCGGCCTGTACGGGCACTCCCACCATATTGTAATGGGATGAGATTGAGACCTCTGGTTTTCACCGATATTCTTTTTAACGAATGGTCTTCAAAATTAGGTGTCACTTGATGGGGCTTAATAATATAGGGGATATTGATGTATATTTTTACATGAGGTCCCTCAGGCTGATGCAAAATAAAAACGGCCGCCATTCTATAATGGGTTGAGATAGGGACCACTAGTTTTCATGGATATTCTTTTAAACTAATGGTTTGTAAAATGAGGCCTCACTTGAAGGGAAACACATTAAAAATACATTTAAAACATTTAAACCATACATAACACACATACATTTAAAATTTTTACTTGCTTCATCAAAATCATTGTAGAACTATGCCTAGCCGGGTTTTATCATAACTCGGCAGATAACAGACCCTTAAGAGAGTTCTTAGAATTGGTTTTCCTGGTCTGTCCACTGCTGATAATTTTGAAAGGTTTCATTTTGCAAGTTTAAAAATGAACGTATAAAAATAAATTAAGGAAAGTATGATTCATCTGGTATCGTTCGATTCGTAACAAAACGAGGAAAGTCCCACAAACATATGTATGATAACCCAACCTAACATAACCGCCGCAACGCGCTGTATAAGGTGGCCTCTGTAGGACGAAAGCACCCTGAGATCTTAGTGGCACCAGCCGGGCGCAATACTGGTATTAACCGAACTCAGTTTGGAACCGCATATGTAAAAGGTTTCATAAGCTCCAATGGTCGACTACAAATATTTGTCCGGCCGATTTGTACTCGCCCGGGCGAAATTGGATAGGATGAAATGAGGTCCTCAGCAAGTTCAGTCATTGATCCTGAAGATCACTGGGAAATGGGCAAGATGAAATCATAGCTCTTTCATCCAGCAAATTCCTTGAATCCTGTATCGTCATCCACTCTCACTCTACTCCCACCCAGCCCGGTTTAAATAAAAAATCCTGAATGAAAAACCAAGTTGGAAGCCCAACTTACATATAAAAGTTTAATCTGTGGGTTTAAAAAGCTTTTAAAAATGGCTTGTTATAGCTATGTTTTAAACATTTATGTGAAAATAAAGATGTATATCCTATTTATTTATTAAAGGCCTTCAGACCCCTTTTTTCTATAATTTATTACTTAACTTCCATCGTTATCGTTAAATTAACTGCTTGCCAGTTGAACTGGCTTTGCTGTTATTATACAGGGTGGCTGAAAAATAACTTGCACCCCCCCTTAACTTTTCAACCAATTGAGATATTTGAAATCGGTTTGCGGCAACCTTCTTAGATATGAGGGGTCACAATAATTATAGTCAATTTTGAAGATTTTGCCCTTAGGGGTAGTGGGGGTAGGGGGTAGCTCTAAATTTTCAAATGACAAGTATAGTCGAGTTTAGTATCATTTTACAGGTCTTGACAAAACATAAACATTGACATAAAGAAAACTAAAATCGGCTCACTAATAACAAAATGGCGCCCTAAAACGTTTCAAATTCAAATAACCATGAGCGTGGCAAAAAAATTAACTTGCACCCTCTTTAACTTTTTAACTATTTGAGATATTTGAAATCGGTTTGAGGCAACTTGTTTGGATATAAAGGGCTATAATAATTATGGTCAGTTCTGAAAGTTTTGCCCTTAGGGGTAGCGGGGGTAGGGGGTAGCTCAAAATTTTCAAATAGCAAGTATAGTCGAGTTTTGTATCATTTTGTAGGTCTTGACGAAACATAACAATTAACATAAAGAAAATAGAAATCACACCATTAATAACAAAATGGCAGCTAAAAATGATTGAGACAATGGTTATTTAAAGTAGTTTTGAGCTGTTGAGCTACCCCCTACCCCCGCTACCCCTAAGGGCAAAATTTTCAAAATTGACTATAATTATTGTGGCCCCTCATATCTAAGAAGGTTGCCGCAAACCGATTTCAAATATCTCAATTGGTTGAAAAGTTAAGGGGGGGGGGGGGTGCAAGTTACTTTTCAGCCACCCTGTATATAGAGAAATAAAGGATTTTAGATGATTTTTAATTAGTTTCTAACTAGTCAATAATTTCTCAAAATTTTTTAAAGGGCTTTTTCCCTACATGTTGAATGAGCAGCATTCCTATTTATATTCCTGAAACCCCTTACATTACAGATCGTTTTGATCTTTTGTTTTGATTGTTTTTAGTTTAGGTTTTCATGTGTATCAGTTATTAAATCAACTAAATATATCTAAAGATTCATATGATTGGTTAGGAAAATGTCAAAGTATTGCCTGGTTTGGATATCAAGAAAGTTGCCACCAAGTATCCCCTAAAGAAGACTGTACCTGCAGTGAAAGAATCTTCTGACAAAAGGGACCAGGATATGATGGCTCGTGTAAGTATTACAAAGATTTTAACGGTTTGTCACGGGGTGATGAGTTTGTGTAAAACCTGCTTTGGAAATAGGCTTCAACTAATAACATGTAAATCCCTAAAATTTGACTGTACTTACTATCAAAAGTTTAATATTTGCCAAACAAATTATATAAATCAAATCAAACAGAAACAAATAATTAAACTTAGCTCGATGAAAATTGTGATTTAATCATCAATACTAAAATTTTTTTTTACATTTGTCTAATGTGTAACTAGTTTTGAATTACTTAAATACCCTGCTATGGAAAATTTGTATGTGTCAAATTATGATAGGGGTACATTTTCGTTATTTTAAGGCCGCGAATGGATCGAGTGCATTGCTTACAATACGATGGCAGCCTGCATAACAGTGGACAAGTCACCCCCCCCCCCCCCTAGTTCAGAACTCAGCCGCTGCCACCTCGGAGTGCTGGCTGGCATATTTTGTTTTGTTTATTTGATCTTAACATAACCAACCAATGTATTTATTAATACTTATGAAGTCAAACGGGGTGAAGCCGGTGGGTAACAGCTAGTATATATAATATTCCAAAAACAATCATGTCTGTGTCTGTGTCGAAAATAACACCCTTTGTACCATGGTAGCCATAAAAAGGCTGTTATAATAACGATCAAAAAAATAACGAACGAAAATCAATGAATATTAGGAACAGAAATAGTACGATTAAGATCCATAAACATTTACAAATCATGCCACTGGTCGAAAGTAAACATGTTTTTATTGATACTTAAATTGTTTTAGCTTAGTTTGTTTAAAGTATTTTATAGTTTCCAAGTAAACAAGTTGAAGATTTTAACAACATAGAATACAATATTATTACTTCTTAGTCTTCATTTTTATTTAATCCTCCCGACATTTTATTCCGTTTATTGACTTTAAATCCAACTGTCAAAATTGTTGGTTTGGTCCAATTATAATGCTGGTTTGGTAAAATATGTAAACAAATCGTTAAACTAATAAGCATTAAGTGAGAAAGACGAAGTGATAGGCGTGGGACACGAGCTAGGGAATAGGCTTGTGAAAACAGAATAAATTAGAACAAGAACGGAGAACTGGCAACAGCGCACGCGAGAAGTAGGGGGGGGCGCACACACTGCTCAAGTGCTACAACGCATTAGTGGCATCCTGTCCACACACTGTTGATATATACCGAATTGCGGCATGGGGTCACTATTAAAAACTGGAGTGTTCATTAAAAATATCGATGTACATAAGGTTTTGGTACCTTCCTTGATCCACTGGTGGCCGCAGTTTGAAAGATGCCACAATTTGGTGTTTGCGAGTATTCGGTAAAGACCCGTATTTGTGTGTGTGTATGTGGATGTGTAAATTACGGTTCCAATGTTATTGTAACTTATACTATTTTCCTATAAAAACCCCATAAAAACAAAAAGTTGGATTTTAAACAAAACCCCGGTTTTGATTAAAATTAGTATGTTACGGTCCTTAAAATTTTGAACAAAATGGTACAGATCCCATTTCTGTAAAAAGTATGGTTCAAAGGTTATTGTAACTTAAGTTATTTCCCATAAAAACCCCATGAAATAACAAAATATCGGATTTTAGGAAAAAAGTCGAATTTGATTAGAATTAATGTGTAATGGTCCTTATAATTCTAAACAAAAATAGTGCAACCCCCCATTGCTGTAATGATTACGGTTCAAAAATCATTGCAACTTTTGTGATTTATCCCTATAGAATATCATAGTTATCAAGGCAGTAGCCAGGACAAACTTTCGGGAGAGTCAGGTCAGTGGCGGTTCTAGGACCTTGTAAAGGGGGGCTCCCGGGGGGGTTTGAGAGAAAAGAGGGGGATCTGGGCAAATTTTATATTTTTAAAGCCGTTTGGTGACTTTCCAAAGCAATTTTTAATGCCTAGAACTGTGTCCAATCGTCCAAAGCTTATAGGAGAAAGTATGTTTCAGTTTGCTGATACCGTTTATTGTATTTTGTTTTATTAAAAGCGATTATTCCTTTACATCGAAGCCGAGAGATGTATCAGTAACAAACCAGAGATTATTTTATTTCGTTTTTTTAGTATTTTATTATTTCTCTTAGATTGTAATTCTATTATGAAGTTATTCTATTTAGTTGATTCATTATTTTGCTAGGCCGAGATAAAGGTTTATTTAGTTAGAAGAGAACGTATTAGTTTATCAATGCGTCGGTGTGCTGATATCGTGAAAGTAATATAATAATTGATGCTCGGACCATCGAGTGCCGATCTACGACAATAGTGCCAGCTTAATGCGAGCGAACCCTAGACATTTCTAGCTATCAGAGTACCTAAATCGAAAGTTTTAGCTTAGTTCACCCTAACCTAAAAAAAACACCTCACAAATTTGCCAAAGTTTACAGAGCCTAATTTTCTCTACAGTTGAAATAAATATCAGAGGAATTAGATGTAAACTAACTCTTTAAGATGCTCAAAGTTAACCACCCAAAGGGTTGTATGGGTTAATTATTGAACAACAAAGTAAATTTTTACTGTAAAAGTAAACATGGTCATATAAAAATGGTAAAATATAGGCCTAAATTTACATATCTATGCATCAAACTAACCTAATTTGAAAAAAAGGTTCGGTTCGTCTTCTTTTCTCAATTAATTCCAAGCTTTTAAAACAAATTATAATGTTAATGTCATTTTCAATTTGTGCCTAGGTGAAACTAGTCTTAGTCTTAGGGGGTGTTGTTTATTGTTATGAAATGTCATAACGGTTAGCCGGAGTTAGCCCTGTGATTTTGGGAGATGGGGAGTTAAAATGCTATTCTCTTGCCTCTTCAAACAAATATTGGTGAACATTCAAAGATTTTAGTGAACATCATATTTTTTACTCAGTTTTGACTCTACAGTCTATGTCGTCATATAAGGAAATATTGTGACAGATTTAATAATTTACTATTGCTTTTTTCTTTTTTGTGTTTTTCAGACAAAATTACTTTGTGAAACAGCGGATGCATTAAAATCTGCACTAGCACAAGCTAAGAGAGAAAAAGAAAATAAAGAAAAGAATTAAATAATAATAGTTATTTTGGAGCACAATTGGTACAGTATTTAATAGGCATTTACTATATGTGAAATGTGGTTTGTTTCCTTATGAAATTGTATTACATTTTTATGACTTGTTGACATTCCTTGCTTTCCCCAAGCTTGTGATGAAATTAGATACATAGGGAATTTGTTATTAAACAATACAATGTACATTTTAAGATATTTAACTTTCGTAAACAAGTATGTTTGGTACATATAACTTTTACCTACTTCATTGTGTTTAGTGTAGTTTTTTAGGTTATCAATAGGCCTGCTGAAAAAAAAAATTATTGATATCCTGTAGGTTTCAAATCTGTGTCAAACCTTGCATTTGTTGTAAGTACTCATATCATGAGTACAGGTTAATTTATTACCTATTGGTTACATTTTAAGGTTTCCATAAAGTACAGTTTTCTTATTTTATTTAAATACTCAAGTTAAATGTAACTGTTCTACCTATTGTTGTTTAATAAATAAGTTACATAATGTATTTTTTTTAACAAAGTTGTTTCTAGTGTTTCCTATGTTAGGTTGGTCAATAAAATGTTGTTTTAAATTTGTGTGTTTTATTGGCATGTAAAATATTAGTTGACATTCTTCATAAAATCTTAACAAGAATTCAAATTAAATTATAAATCAAAACCAAATTTAGCATAAGGGGTTTTTCAGAATGTGTATAACGTAGACAGAGACAGGGGTGCCTAGAGGGGGAGTACTGTGGCGCCAAGGAATTTTTGGGGGGGGGATGTTTTTTTTGCTAGCTCTCATAATGAATGTATAATTTTGTATAAGCAGCTCGAAATGTGTTTCTAAGTAGTTCACTATCAACACCAACAACATTTTGCTATTTATAAGTAAGATTGTTTCTAAGAATTCTAGAGGGGCAAGCGGAGCCGTAGAGTGGCAAAAAGACGCAGCTATTATGGGCTATATGGGAGAGATAGGGGAAAACGTGACGCATGCTGTTTCGAATTCAAATTGCCGCTAAACTCAAACACAGGTGTTATTCAGTGATTGCATTCTTAAAGTAAATTTAAATTTCCTTTAGAATGGCGTAAATCATTTCTATAAAACTATTATTTGTTATTTACTATTGAAGATCAAAGTTGAAAGAATTGTGTTGGACTTTGAACATACGATTACTTTAATTATGATTTTGAAATAAATATGATATATCTTTACAAATAATCAATTTATTTGTGTTCCCTAAGAGTTTCTAAAAATAAAAATAGTATATTTACCGATATTTAATCGGATTATTAAAAAAAACCGTGTTAACTGTTTTTTTTTCACTTTTACAGTTTTTAAAACAAGCTTATTAAATTTAGGTTTTAAATCAAAAATGCAATTTGAATGATGGAATAAATATTAAATTAGCATTCATTATTTTCTAGAATTTTTAATACCTTTAATGCTTGTTTAAAAGCATTTTTGTGATAGGCAAGTAATTTGAAATAAAAAAAACAAAGCGGTGTTCGCTTTTATTACACGCACAGCTGTTCAAATTAAATTACAAAAATATAATGTAAAATATTTTCTATTTTTTTTACTTTTTTAATAGACCATATTTTGAGAGCTTACTGTATGTTAAGAAATATCAAATAAACTTTGATTAAAAAGTGAAATCTTTCAGTTCTCGCATCCTCTGATGCCACAGTGAGTACTTGTCATCATTTTATAGTTTTAAAACTTATTTTATTTCTTTTTGTGCAAAAAAATTTTAAATACTTATATATAACTTTATGATTTGAGTATCGGATTATGAATGGTATAATCAATACTAACACAATATTAGCAGGGAAAAATATAAAAATACATTCATCCGTCAACCGTTGTGGTCATCTTTGAATTTGCTATTTGTTCATGAATACATTCTTCCTCTTGGTTAGGTTTCTAATATTGCGATTCTAATTATGATCTTAATTTTGTTCGCATGATGTAGTCTTCAATAAATCTTTTAAATACTTGACTGTTATTTCAGTGACAAAATCTCTAATATGACATTATAACAGTCCTAACTGATTGGTGTGTTTGGTTGCTGGGTCGATTAAGGCCCGTTTTGCCAGAAGCGTCTGGTGCGTCTGACGCTTAGCGATGATCGCTAGAGCGATAATCGCTCAGCGTCTATCGCTCGGGCCTATTTTGCCAGAAGCGTCTGTTCTTGCGATTATTTGATCAGTGAGTGGTTTGCTTTGGTGGCGAAAGGAGTGTTTCTGAAAATGAGCTGTAAAAATCAAATAGTAAAGTATTTGTTAGCTGAGGAATTAGACGATGAAGAGATATTAGAAATAAGGGGCAAACGTAGGGAAGAAGTGCGCACTATGTTTTTAAAGAGACCTGAAGAGGGATATTTTAAATTGTTAATTGGAAATCCCCTCCGCTCTGATGAGACCAAGTTTCACTAGTTTCATCTAGTGTTTCAATGTTTCATCTTCTTCACTATTAAATCCCCACTTTGATTGTGACATGTCACTAAAACTTATTTGAGGAAACAAAAGTTAAGTCAACACCTAAACACGTGCTTATTCCAATAATAATCGCTAGCGACTGCGTCTCCGTCTGCTCCAGGAGCAGTGGTCCGCGTCAGACGCTTGCGTCTCTGTTACAGACGCTGGCGGCTGTAGCGATGGACGCTTCTGGCAAAATAGACTAACCAAAAACAATGCAAAGCAGTGGGCAGCGATAGACGCGGTGCGATAATCGCTGAGCGATAGACGCACGAGACGCTTCTGGCAAAACGGGCCTTTAGCCTTAAAAATATTATTATGTATGTTTCTGAACACAATGCCCCCCACGGTACGGCGCGCGGTCAGCTGGCTGGCTTCAACGAAACTCGATCAAGTAATCTCCTTAATGTTTAATCCTCCTAGGATTGAACCCCCAAAGACTAATTAATTAATTTTCTTGGTTAGGGATCGACTTGATATTTTTTATGAATTCTATATACGGGTGATTGGTAGTCAGTGTGATTAAATTTTTTGGTGTAAGTAAAAATTAAATGAAGTGTGATGATGCATGTAAGAGGTTCCAAGTCTAAAAATTATTTTTCAAAAGAGTTGTTTTAAGTTTTTTTTTTCAAATAACCATTTTTTAAACTTAATACAGCAATTTCTCAATTACCTGTAAATTAATTTGAGTAGCTAATGTTATTTTCGTGTTATACATCAAATTTTGAATAAGAATAATATAAAATGACGGAGCATCAATAGCAAAAACTCCATTGTAAATAGATTCAAAGATAAAAATTAAGGTGTTTGGTAAAAATTAAAAAAAAAAAACATTGGTCTATTGCATTTTTTTACACCCTGTATACAAGAAGGTGGTCAAGTATGTTAAAAACTGCGCCATTTTATAAGCTTTCCAACCATATGCTACACTATTGAGATTTAGATATGCTTTTGTTTGTTTTAGTGGTTTGAATATCACTACAGGGAACTTTTTTACTGTCCAAACCAAAACAAAAATACAAGTTTTGCTTAATAATACAGTTGGATTTTTTTAGCTAGAAGCAGTTAAGTGGAATATCTTTGAAGATGAACCTATTTGGCTATAATGCGATCATGTGTTGTGTCAAAATTTGAGGTTAAATCAAAACAAACTGGCATATTCTAGGAATTGACTATAATTAATAATAGTTAAATATACTTCAAACTTACTCTACTTTATAAATTACTTGGTCATTAGAGCATACTGTGAAATAGAAACGTGATTTAGAACAAACATTTTTATTTAGAAGAAAAGTGATGGTTGCTTTACAAATAATGAATTGACATAAGCAAAAATTAAAATATTGAATCTTCTTGCAAAATTAATGTCGATCATTGATAGAATGATGTGACAAGGTCACTTGGATACACATGATAAACTGTTGGAACATAGGCCTCGCAGGCCTAATGATGGTTTACGTTTCGTTTGAATCTCTTAACGATTAAATATTATTAAAATATAGACCCACCATTTGAGGGTTTTAAGTTAAGCCTAGTCCACACATGGACACTGAGTCGGCCGACTGCGCGCGGACAGTCGGCAGACAGTCTGCCGACACAGTTTCAGATACAAGTTTCCGATGTGTTTTGCATCCACACTAGCCAGCCAGTGTTTCCATGTTTGTTGGTATGGTGACCAAGGAGGACGTAATTATATCCTGTGTGGGCTTCATTTTCCTAAACCATGGGCCTAATGAATCTAGGAAGAGACGATGATGGACCCAACATTTTCTCGAGCAAGGTTCGTATTATGGTCACAATCTTCTATCAGACCTTCAGATAAGGTGGAGGATTTTGGAACTTCACGAGGTTGACTTCTAAAGATTTTGAAATTTTGCTGGGCTTTGTTGGTCTTAAGATTTCAAACTTGAAGAGATGAACAATTCAATAAAATGTCATATAATGTTGTAAATCATGGAAAGCTAATTCCAAAACTTTCAAGAAACTCAATCCAGCTCTTTTATTACCGCCCAAAAATCGTAATATTACCGCTTTGCAGTCTTAACTAAATGGGCTGAATATTGATCACCTTCGGCTTGTATCCAGTCTCCTGTCTTCAGACACGTCCACACATGCAGACTTGAGACAAAAGTTTTGTCTCTTGTCTCCGTGTTTCCCATTCGAACGGGAAACAGAAAACACTGTATTTTGTCTCCAGAAACACTGAAATTTGTCTGTCAACAGCCGGCAGACAGTTGGCCGACTTACTGGAGACAAAATAGCAACACTCCAGAGACAGTCGGCAGACAATGTTTACGTAGACAAATCGCCATGTGTGGACGAGGCTTTAGGGGCCAGAGATGACGAGATAAACCGTACTAAACAGATAAACAGCAAATTGTATTGCTAGCTTACTTTGTACTTACACCAAAGAATTTTTGTCACACTGAGTACCAATAACCCTGTATAATACATTGTTTTATAATAATTTGAATGTTGGGATTCGGAGGCATATTGTATGGACAATCTTAGAAAATAACCTGAAGATAATCATCACAGTTAAACAGATTAATCCATATGGATAAGAACTAAGCTTGAACTTCAAATTAGTGTAACCGAGCGGTCAGACATGATCAAAGCAGATGCTTGTTTTGGGACGGGCCTACGAGCTAAAAGGACTGTTTTCCACAGAAGAACAAACTCCATCGAAAGTTAGTTGTATTGTATCCGATTTACTTTGGCCGGCTTGTCAGCTTCTTTTTGAATGCAGAAGCCGTTGTTTTAAAGTTGGTAACCCACCAAATGATTGTCCCTACTTGACGGAATCCATGTTGCCCTTATTGCAAGAATGCACGGAACTGCCGCTGAGTTGCAATGACTGAATCAATACTTTTTAAATTCGACTTGATAACAAACACACGTTGCTCTGACCACTGCTCTATGACCACAGATAATGGCATCGAGTAGGCTTTTCAACGAGCCCAACCCCACCACTCTCAGACGACCTGTCGCTGAACAGTGAGCTGCATAAAATAGATCGGTTTTTTTTGCCGCACCTTGTATTTAGATGAATGGAATTGCCA